TATTATGAACAGTGGCTGTGGCACCCAAAGGAATGATTGACAGCAAAGATGTGCAGGGGGGAAGCGCGTCCAAAGCAGAGCAGGTGGCGGCCCCACAGATAGAATGTGGAAGCTTGCAATCTAAAATCTCCATGCATTTAACACAACAAAAGATACAAGTAGCAGGAATGTCTTATCGGCAAAAAGCGCTCACAGCTTAGATGGCAGCAGGGGAGCAGGGTTGCTGATAACAAAAAAGACAGGGACAGATATGAGGGAGGAAAAAGGCAGACCGGAGGAGCAAAGAGCCTGGAAGGTAAAAGAAATAGTGCTGGGGACGTGTTGTGTTACTAGAGCCATGCACAGGTGCATAACAAAAGGTAAAGAAGTCAACAAAAAAACACACAACCGCGACGAATTCGGCCACAAGCAGAACCAGAGATCGACAACACACCATCCACCGGACCCCAACAATTCACCAACAACGGGACAACCAGACACATCCAACGCACGCAAAACTTACACGATCAACAACAGACAGCAGACGCTGATCAGTTCGCTGAGCATGCTCATCGCGAGGTGTAAGGCTCACTCACAACCTCATAGGGCGTGCGACACTGGAAAAGCTAGATACAATCAGATACAGCGGCATGCCTCTCACAACAAGTGTCGTATTGCAAACATGACCAAGAAAGGAGGTAGGAACTTGCACGGCCCCAGACTGATAGGCCAGAAGCAGTGAAACGAACTAAACTCAGCGGCACTATCAGTAAAAAATAACCGAAAGTAAATGCAAGAAGACAGGCAAACGGCCCGAGCGACGACAAAGCACCACACTGGGACACGGGGAAGGCACCAGTGTATGGAATAAATCAAAAAAACAAAAAGGCACAGCAGCGAGAACAGAAATATTAGCGTCACAAAATACATTGATAGCCTATAGGAAAAATACTAGCGAGTTCCAGCGCTTGCTGAGGGGGAAAACGCGGCTCTTGAAAGGCATGAAGTGAGAAGCAGGGGTCAGTGACGTCAAAACCCGCACGCACACGAGTAGGCATCCAAGCTCCAAGTCTGTTAGAAAGGAGGAAGAACACCGAAGGGGAGGAACCGAAACCGCCCACGGGCAGGGCGGGGGTGATGGGAGCGGGAGCGGTGAAAGGCAAAACTGTTCCCTGTGTCGTGTGATGGGCCCTCTGACCACCACCAGTAGGCAATGGGTGAAGTGTCTTGTCCAAGGACACAACGACCGAGACTGTCCAAGCCGGGGCTCGAACCGGCAACCTTCCGATTACAAGGCGAACTCCCAACTCTTGAGCCATGATTCATGGATTCAATGAGTTGATGACGTTTCTAAATGATTTCTTGTAAACTTCTTCCTCTTCAGTCCTTTAAAGATGGAACTATGATTATGCCAGGATCCACGTTTTTTTTTTCCACTCAAAGCTTCAGTCAATATCAGTATGTTGTGTTTCTCTGAATCTCAGTTCACAACCAGCTCCTCCGCATTTTTAATAGGTCTGAGCTCATTAAAATTAATACAAATGTTTGATTTCTCTTTCTTAATGTGATTTTCCCATAATTCTTAAATAAGCGGACATCCAATAGTACTCAGTGTATAAAATATTCAAGACATTAAGCGTCTCTCCTGTTTCTGTCATTTTATAAAATCAACTGCTTTTAAAAACTAATCCAATCAAAGAAACATCGACTGTCACTAACATCTCCTTGAACACTTCATCAGTGGTGATTTTTTGCCCTCTCCTGCCGAGAAGATGAATTGCATGGTTTCAATTTAATTAACACACATGACACAAAGTGTTTTTAAATCTACCTTTTCTAATTGTTCGCAAATATTTATTCACTTAAATTCAATTTTATTTATATAGCGACACATCAAAACAGCAGTCGCACCTACAATAATACATGCAGAGAAAAACCCAACAATCATATGACCCCCTATGAGCAAGCACTTTGGCGAACGTGGGAAGGAAAAACTGAGTTTTAACATGAAGAAACCTCCGGCAGAACCAGGCACAGGGAGGGGCGATCATCTGCTGCGACCAGTTGGGGTGAGAGACGGAAGACAGGATAAAAGACATGCAGTGGAAAAGAGCCAGGCATTAATAACAAGTGCGGTTCAGTGTAGAGAGGTCTATTAACATATAGTGATTGAGAAAGGTGACAGAAGAAGAAAAACTCAATGCATCATGGGAATCCCCTGGCAGCCTAGGTCTATTGCAGCATACAGTAACTAAGGGAGGATTCGGGGTCACCTAATCCAGCCCTAACTATATGCTTTAGCAAAAAGGAAAGTTTTAATTAAGCCTAATTTTAAAAGTAGAAATAGTGTCTGTGTCCCGAATCCAAACTGGAAGCTGGTTCCACAGAAGAGGGGCCTGAAAACTGCAGGTTGTCCCTCCCATTCTACTTTTAAATAATGGGAACAACAAGTAGGCCTGCAGTGCGAGAGCGAAGTGCTCTAATAGGGTGATATGGTACTACAAGGTCATTAAGATAAGATGGGGTCTGATTATTTAAGACCTTGTATGTGAGGAGCAGGATTTTGAATTCAATTCTGGATTTAACAGGAAGCCAATGAAGGGAAGCCAAAACAGGAGAAATATGCTCTCTCTTTCTAGTCCCTGTCAGTACTCTTGCTGCAGCATTTTGGATTAATTGAAGACTTTTCAGGGAGTTTTTGAGGGGGAAAGTTTTTAGGACATCCTGATAATAATGAATTCCAGTCGTCCAGCCTAGAAGTAATAAATGTATGAACTAGTTTTTCAGCATCACTCTGAGACAGGATAGTTCAAATGCAACAAAGCAGTCCTAAATATTTGTTTAATATGTGCATCGAAGGAGCTATCCTGGTTAAAAATGACTCCAAGGTTCCTCACAGTGTTACTGAAGGCCAAGGTCATGACATCAAGAGTAAAAAAAGTATATATATATAAAAAAAAAGAAAGTAAAAAAAAAGGTTAGATACCATATTTCTAAGATTTCCAGGGCTGAGTACAATAACCTCAATTTTATCTGAATTAAGAAGCAGAAAGTTAGAGGCCATCCAGGTCTTTATGTCTTTAAGACATTCCTGCAGTTTAACTAATTGGTGTGTGTTTTCTTGCTTCATGGATAGATAAAGCTGGGTGTCATCTGCATAGCAGTGAAAATGTATGTTGTGTCTTTTGATGATACTGCCTAAGGGAAGTATGCATAATGTAAACAGAATTGGCCCTAGTGCTGAACCCTGTGGAACTCCATAATTAACCTCCATTTACATAAACAAATTGGATTCTGAGCGATAGATGTGATACAAACCACTGCAGCTCAGTACCTGTAATATGTAATGCTCTAATCGCTCTAATAGAATATTAGGGTCGACAGTATCAAATGCTGCACTCAGGTCTAGCAGGAGAGGCACAGAGATGAGTCGACTGTCAGAGGCCATACGAAGATCATTTGTAACCTTTTGATAGGTTTGTAGCTTGAACCCATCCGCTGGAACGTTGAGGACAATATAATTACACTGCAAAGCAAGACACAAGTAGGCAAGCTTCTTCATGTTTCTCGTGCACGGGAGAGAACCGGACAAATGCCGTTCCTTCGCTTGACCCCAGTTGCTCTCGTCCGTTGTCCCGTACCACTGTTCTTTTATTGAGGTTACACGAATATGCATAGGTTCATTAACATATGACGTCTACATACACACAAAGAGTACATTGCCTGTGTATGTGTGTGTGTATGTGTGTGTGTGTGTGTGTGTTTGTGTGTGTGTGTGTTTGTGTGTGTTTGTGTGTGTGTGTGTGTGTGTGAGGTCAAGATGTGACCCTGTGAAGACTCCCCAAACGCTGGTGCCAGGAGTCTAGGGCTCCTTCTGAACAAAAGGCTCTTATACTTAAAGAAATATACGTGTGTTTGCTAAACCATATATCAGCAAGAGAAGATACGACCTCTCCTAGGAGGTGTGATCTATGCCAGAACACTCTGTAAGAGGAGTGAACGCACTCCCCTCTTCATGCTACACAGAGTTGTTACAGACCTCCTAGGATGAGACATTCTTTCAATCTACAAATGATTATACACCTCTAAGCATATATGGTTAAATATTTATAAGCATAAATGACAATCAACAATACAAAACCTAACACCTTTACTAAAGCTAATTTTTGTGCTGTGATGGGCTCTTTTCGACAGAAAATAGAGCAAGTGCAGTCATATAAATATCTTGGGACTGTAATCAATGAAAAACTGAACTTTGATGAGAATTGCAAATCGGCCTGTAAAAAGGGTCACCAGCGCCTTTACTGCCTCAGGAAAGTTGCTCATTTCCACATTGACTGAAAAATTGTAACTTTGTTTTATCGTTCTTTTATTGAGTCTGTTTTATCTTTTTGTTTGGTAGCATGATTTGGTCAGACCTCTGTCACAGAGAAAAACTCACTGAATCAGATAGTGAGATGGTCCAGTCGCCTGATAGGTGAGTCACAGTCCTGTTTAGCCTCCCTGTACTCTACACAGATACAACAGATGGCTTAATCAATTCTTAAAAATGGTTCCCATCCTGTACGGGGTGAATTTCAGCTTCTTTCCCCAGGAGGGAGGTTTCTATTTCCAAGATGTAGAACAAAGTATTATAAAAACAGCTTTGCCCCTGTTGCTGTCACTGAACTAAGTAAGATATGTTTTTTATTTGATTCATATTGTTCAAGTACTATATATGTGTTTTTTGTGAGGTTTTAACTAGGAATGTGTGTTCGTGAAGGGATGCCAAATGCTATCATTTTTCTGCAAAGCAAATTTACCTATGGGTATAAACAAAGTAACCTTAACCTCAAGGTCAGCTAAAAACAACTTTCACTAACACACTGAGTGTTTCTTTGATCTGTAGTCAAACCAGTTTAAAGTGTCACTACAACAGAAACTACAATAGAAACATAATTTTAATGCTTCGCTCAGTAACAGGACAGAAAGCCTCCAACAAACATTTTTACATGTTTCTAAATTGCAAACTTGAGAATTTCTGATATTGCTTAATCCCTGGTTCCCCACAAGCACCTCCCTTCCTGCTCTTCCTGTTTCGCTTCTCTTTGCTGATCTCCGTGTCAGACGACCGTCTTTAGCACAAACAGCACAGATCTGCCGGACTCACAGCTGGACCAACAAGGCAGAGTGGAACCAGACCAGCAGCAGGTTTGAATTCATCTTTTCTCTCAGACATTAGAGGCAGCTTGTGCTTCTGTAACTTAAAGCACTGAAAGTTCCTTCAGCACATTTCTTCTCTGCTCTCCTTTATTGACCGTCATTGTTCTTGTTTTCTAATGATGCACCATAACGTTTCGTAAAGCCCATCTTGTCGTCTTTCAGTAACCGTTTGAAATGTCCCTCTAACCCAAATAGTCGAAGAGTTACATTAGTGCGAAGCGCACATTAAGCGCACCACTAAGCGGTGTTCACTTTTCTTTTTCCAGTCAGCTGTAGCTTGTGAACGCTTTGTGCTACCGTAATACACTAAATATCCCCGTAAAACTCAGTCTCTCTTCTTTCAGTAACCATGTGAATTTTTTCCCCTAGCTCAAATGGTCAATGAGTTACGGTAGTGCGAAGCACACATGGTAAAATCTAGGCGGAGTTGAGTTTTCCTTCTGTGTTTAGATTTTTTTTAGTGAACTTTATTGAACACACAATGAGTGTACAACATACAAACAGATGAAGTATACAAAAGAACAGAACATTTCTGTGTTCAGACAGCTGTAGCTTGTGAATGCTTTGTGCTACCGTAATACGCAAAATATCCCCGTAAAGCGCAGCTTCTCTTCTTTTCGAAACCTAGCTTTCTCTAGCATAAATGAAGAGTTACAGTCGTTTAAAGACTGCTTGTGAAATGGGCCCGTCGGCTGGCCATTGGTCAATAAAGCATTAAGTTCTTCTGCTTTGTTTGAGTATTTCACCTTTTTCACTGATGCACTCACTTCAACCCAGAGGTCTCCTCACACTTTCTCCTTATCGTCTTTTTGATGGACATTATGGTAAAAACTCTCTCATGATGTCATTTTATCTCTTTGTGAATCCATATTTACTATGAAAGTCGTTTAACTACGTTATTATTTGAAAATAAGTGATGTACAGCAGAGTAAGCATTTCTGAGGCCACTGAGAGAAATGAGGAACATACTGCCTGTGAGCTCACCAACACACACATTTACACTTGGTTTGTCTTCACAGCAAAAAAACACACTTCCTGCTCCTGATGTTCTGCAATTAAAATCTATTTAAGAATTGACACTGTGATTTGTGCTTTTAATTTGATTTTAATTCAACACACAGGAAATGTAATTTGTAGAAACAATGTAACACAGTGTAACAGAGCAGAAGCACTAAAATAGACTGATGGATTATTCTAATATCAAGGACAGGTATGTTCAGTTCAGTTTTTCTTCTATAACATGTAAACGGCAGCTGCCTGTAGCTGTTAAGGTGGAACCTTTTCTGATATGCTACTTTAATATCAGTGTGAAAGCTCTGACCATCAGTCTTTGTCTTGCCTGCTAATTTCAGAGGATTCAGCCTTTACAGAGCAATAAATCAAATACAAAAAACATCCTGTTAAAACTGTAACTGTAACAGTAACACTGTCATTATTTTTATTGATTGATTTATTGATTAACATTCAAATATCTCAGTGAATACAAAATAAAGATTACCACAAAGCAAGAAAGCATAAGACAAGGCTAATCAAAAGGTATTGGCTGAAGCATATGCTTTACACCAACACTTTTAACAAAAGATCTTTTAGCATGCAGCTCATGTAGGGCTCAAAGCAAAGAATAAAACAAAACAAAGCAAACAAACAAACAAAAAACAAAACAAAACAAAAAAACTTTGCACCTTAGATTAGTAACTACATTAAATTAAATTTCATTAAAATAATCGAAGCAAAACAACCAAGAGTTTCACTATTATTATTTTTGCTCTTTTCATTCTTGATTTATATATTATTTTTCTAATACTCTATTTTTAAACATGCTTTCAAACAAGGAAAATGAACTACACCTTTTTAAATCACTTTCATAACTATTTTACAAGTTAACTCCTCTAACAGAAACACATCTGTGCTTTATGTTTGTCCTTATCTTGTTTTTTTTTTTTTTTTTTTAAAGAATTCTGTTCCCATTAAGTCATATTGACTCTCTCTGACTTTAAACAGCTTCTGAGTACTGCGGCAAAGCAAGTTATTTTGTGCTTTATACAGTATCTGTGCCATTTTATATTCAACTAAATCATAAAATAGAGAGCAATAAAGTGTGTATAATGATTTCTTGTTCAGGACATGCTTTGTTTTGTTGAGAATAGCAACTTTTGTTTTCACATGGTTTATATGAGACTTCCAGCTAAGCTTATCATCAATTATCACTCCAAGAAATTTATTTTTTCGCACACGCTTTCAATTTCAATTCCATTAACCCTGATTTTAGATTCATTTTTCATTTGTCTAGTGCCAAAAATAATAAATTTTGTTTTGTTTATATTTAACGATAACTTATTTATATCAAACCAGTTTTTTTAATATATTTAACTCCTTTTCCACTGTAGTCAGAAGCTGTTCTAGGTTTTTACCAGAGCAATACAGAGTGGTATCATCAGCAACCAATACACATTTTAACAATTTGGAAACACTACATATGTCATTTATATATGATATGGATACTTCAGGGCCCAGCACAGAGCCCTGAGGAAAGCCACAAGTTACCTTCAACTGATTAGATTTTACATTATTGATTTCAACATATTGATATCTGTCATCCAGGTAACTTTTCATCCACTTGTATGCTATGCCTCTTATACTATATCTCTCTAGTTTATTCATTAATATAGAATGATCAATTGTACCAAACAGCTTTTTTAAGTCTATAAAAACACCAACAGTATATTCCTTATTATCTATTTCAGTAGATATCCCTTCTACAACTTCCATCACTGCCATCCAAGTGGACCTTTTTGCTCTAAAGCCATAGTGGTTATCACTTAGGAGATTATGCTTCTCAATATATTTATCAAGTCTATTAACAAATAACTTTTCTAAAATTTTTGAGAACTGTGGGAGTAGTGATATTGGCCTATAATTAGTAAATTGACATCTCTCTCCAATTTTATGGATTGGAATAATTTTTGCTATTTTCATTTTTGAGGGAAACATACCAGTTCAAAAGGACAGATTACAAATGTATGTGAAAGGTCGCACTATATATTCTATAATACTTTTAATTAATATCATGTCAATACCAAAACAGTCAGTGGACTTTTTATTTTTAAATGTTTTCACAATGTTCATTATTTCTCTATGAGTTACAGGACCAATAAACATGGAGGACAAATTCTGAGTAAAATGTTTATTTAGGTCGTTATTTTTTCTTGACTCTGGAATTTCTTTTGCTAAATTATAGCCAACATTTACAAAGAAATCATTAAATTCATTTGAAATGTCTTTAGTTTTATCAAGCACACTATCTTTATCTTTTTTTAAATTGTCTGGATAATTCTTATTTTTTGAGCCCTATTTGAATATACTATTTTATAACCTCCATGTTTCTTGTGTGTTACTTCTACTTTGCTCCAATAATTTGTTATATATAATCTCTTATATAGATTATTTTTCTTTTTACATGCATCTTCTACCCCCTTTGTGATCCATGGCTTATTTGATCTGTGATGCTTTTTTGTGATTTTCATTAAAGGACAATGTTTTTCATATAGTGAAATTATAGTTGATAAGAATGCATCATATGCACTATTTGAATCTTCATTTGCAAAAACCTCATTCCAATTGTGTTCCTTTAAGTCCACCTGGAGGGCAGCAATGGCTCTTGTTGTTCTATGTCGTATCATGTCAAATGTTTGATGCTTTTATTTAGTTTTGATCCCAAAATAATTTTGAAAAATTGCCAAAACAGGAAGATGACCGCTTATATCAGTTATAGGAAGTCCACCTACTATTTCATAGTCAATTTTATTTGTAAATATATAATATCTATCAATGTAGCTGTATCAATTCATATTCTACTTGGTTTTATAATTACAGTGAAAAGGCAGTTACTATACATTGTATTGATGAAATCTGTTGTTTTCTGATGTCTATTTGGGTTTAGCAAATTTATATTAAAATCACCACAAATTATTTGTGCTTTTTTTATCATTTAGGTTGCTAAACATAGCAGAAAGTTTTTCATTGAATGTGTCAAGGCATGACCCTGGTGACCTATAGATGCAACTTATAATTATATTGCTAGCTTTTTCAACATGGATTTCAATAGTAACACATTCCAATACGTTATCTATGGTGCTTGATGTACATTCAATCAGACATTTGATTATACTCAGACTGACAGCAGCTTCAGTGCATTTACTTCATGTTTGTCTGATTAGACACAATCACTGCTGCATTTTAGTGTCTCTGCTGGAACTGCACCAAAACTCCTTCATTCACCATCCCAACACTGAGAGGGATGTTAGAGACACAGGGACACCTTCACCTCTCCCCCTAGAAGTTCCCCTGGAGCTGAGAAAGTACCAGAACACAAAGAGAAGAAAAGACGTCTTTTCAGGAGGTCAGAAGGAACCCACTTCAGTTTTCATCCACTCAAGCAAAAGTTCCAGCAAAACAAATATTTGAAAGATTAGAAATTAAAACATCAAATCTATCACATAGATCAGCGGTCCCCAACCTTTTTTGCGCCACGGACCGGTTTATGCCAGACAATATTTTCATGGACCGGCCTTTAAGGTGTCGCGGATAAATACAACAAAATAAAACTAGTACTGGTACCGAAAAAAGAAAATTTATTCATAACACACGTGAAAAGACCCAGGAAAACCGAGTAAACGCTAAAAATGATAACAAAATAACGCTGAAAACCAATAAAAACCCTGAAAACTATACATTTCACACCTGAGCCTCAACTCTCGCGGCCCAGTACCAAACGACTCATGGACCGGTACCGGTCCGAGGCCCGGGGGGTTGGGGACCGCTGACATAGATGACCTTTGACCTGAGCAGGAAGAAGAGAACAGCCTGAGGTTTCTCTGGTTTATACTCCACCTTATCCTAGTCTGTGTGACATCAGAAACATAGCAACCGCTTAGACACCCCACTTCCTATTTTTTTTCACAGCTCTCTGAGCCACTAACAGTCACATGACTGTAACAACATGAAGTTGATGAACTTAATGAAACGAGAAACAAGTTCCTCTTCTAACACAGGCAGATGTGCAGAGACACCTTTGCTCTCGGCTCTGTGGGTTTGCACATCTGGTTTAGATGAGATTCTGCTTTCTGTCCAACATTTTTGGACCCAAATAAAAGTTCAGATTGTACTACAACATACAACACAGAAAAAAAGTACTAACCAGGTAATAGTAATTGTCACAGAACACGGAGTGTTCAGGTAACCGCAGCTCAGAACTATGTACAAGTTTTATTTAACTGAGGAATCTTTTAACAAAGCTAAGGAAACGAAAAACTAAGGCTCATGCCACGGGGGGAAACAAGGAGTGTGGAGCCCAGGAGTGCCGTAATCGGGACCGTGGGGAAACTGCAACAGAAAGGGGAGACACAGTTAACAGCATGCAGGTTCCCAAGAAATGAACAGCTAGACTTCATAAGTTGCCGAGGCTTACAGGTAGAGCAGGACCGTGGAGCTTGGACAGGAGAGGTGCCAGTGAAGGGAATCCTAGGGAGGGAGGCAGTCAGGCAAGAGGACAGGCAGGCCACAGGCTTCCACGCCGAATGCTGGTCACACTGGGAGGAGACTTACGGACTGGCGAGGAGAAGCCGTCAGAGCTGGCTGAAGTAGTCCTCTGGTGATTGCCTCAGATGAGACGCATGTGGTTTGGAGGCGGCACAGCCCGAGGGTGTGGCCACCGCAGCCTCCCACGGCTCTCTGGATGCCGAGCCACGGGCCGTGACAGCAATAATACCAAACATGTGTTTTCAAACAACTTCAGTAAAACATCCTGTTAAAACTGTAACTGTGTTTAACAGGAACAAGGTCATTGAAATCATCACTTGGTGCTGCTGTCTCTTGTGTCTGTACAGAGTTTGAACCAGAAGGCTGAACTCTTTTTCAGTCACATGATGTTTCTCTGTCTCTGCATCTGTTTCTCTGATTGCAGCTGCATTTGAATGAACTGGAACGTCCAATTCTCCAACACGTTAACTCTGCTGATCCTTCGTGTTTAAATAAAATTTCTTTCTTTGACTCAGTCTGCTGTCACTTTGTTTTAGAGAGACAAAGAGATTTCAGATTAACTGGTGTTCCTGCTGCTCCAGCACTAAAGGACAATGCATGTCACCGCCAGAGACGGGCAGTTTCTGATTACTTTTTTCAAGTAACGAGTAAAGTAAGGGATTACTATTGCAAAAACGGTAATTAGATTACCTTTACTTTCCCATAGGAACGCTGCGTTACTGCGTTACTAAAACCGTGATTTTTTTAGCAAGAATGTCTCATGACAGTGACGTAAGCGAGTGCGACGTTCGTGACAACAGCTGTGTGCAGATCAACAATGGATCATATATCGATGGTGGGAGAGAGTATGAGCGTGCAGCGTTTAAAGCTTGGAAGTACTGACCTTACTTTGATTCCACAAAAAGTGACAAAAACATTAGTGTCCGTTGTGCGTGGGAAGAAAACTTCTTTTAACCGTGAAAAAAAAAACCCTAAACTTTCAAGCAAGCACCGGGAGTGCGCTACCACGTAAAGGGAAACTCACAGAGAAACTTGCGGATTCTTCAACTGACTGCTGCGGCACAGCTGTGCCAGGGTAAACCTACGCCTACGCCACTCCTGCTTTACAGGTGAAAATAGAGCAACAGGACCACTAGTCTTTGATGTTATTTATTTTCTGCTGTGTTTTACTTGCATCTATTTGAAAGAGTGAGTGTAAACACACAAAAAATATATATTTTATGTGCTGGAATGTGCAGAAAATAAGTTTAAATGTTAAACAAATTTCTTCCAGTCAGAGAATGTTGCATAGAATTAAATTTTTGCTTGATGCATAAAGTTAAAAGGTTAAAACTAATAAAACAAGTTTTAAAAAGGGACTTTTCCATTTGATTACATTTTGTATGATGGATTATGCGTTACGAGTAACGCGTTACTGCCCATCTCTGCTGATTACTTTTTTCAAGTAACTTGACCAACACTGGTCACCATGCTGATGCCTTTTCAGAATTGCAGCAAAGTTAATAAACTTTTGGCTAAATATTCTTAATTTTTCATATAAGAATATATATATTTTTCATATATATATATATATATATATATGGACTGAAAGACAGCACAGAGGCACTAATCATGGCAGCACAAGAACAAGCTCTGAGCACAAGATCCATAGAGGCTGGGGTCTATCACACCAGGCAAGACCCCAGGTGCAGGCTGTGTAAAGATGCCCCAGAGACAATCCAGCACATAACAGCAGGGTGCAAGATGCTAGCAGGCAAGGCATACATGGAACGCCATAACCAAGTGGCCGGCATAGTGTACAGGAACATCTGTGCCGAGTATAACCTGGAAGTCCCGAGGTCAAAATGGGAGATGCCCCCAAGGGTGGTGGAGAATGACCGAGCTAAGATCCTGTGGGACTTCCAGATACAGACGGACAAAATGGTGGTGGCTAACCAACCGGACATAGTGGTGGTAGACAAACAGAAGAAGACGGCCGTAGTGATCGATGTAGCGGTTCCGAATGACAGCAATATCAGGAAGAAGGAACACGAGAAGCTGGAGAAATACCAAGGGCTCAGAGAAGAGCTCGAGAGGATGTGGAGGGTGAAGGTAACGGTGGTCCCCGTGGTAATCGGAGCACTAGGTGCAGTGACTCCCAAGCTAGGCGAGTGGCTCCAGCAGATCCCGGGAATAACATCGGAGATCTCTGTCCAGAAGAGCGCAGTCCTGGGAACAGCTAAGATACTGCGCAGGACCCTCAAGCTCCCAGGCCTCTGGTAGAGGACCCGAGCTTGAAGGATAAACCGCCCGCAGGGGCGTGCTGGGTGTTTTTTTTTTTTTTATATATATATATATATATATATATTACTGTAGGGGGATCACACTCCCATACCCAGTTTGGGTATAAAACTGAAGACTGACAGTATAAGTTAAGGATGAGGATAAGGATGCATTTGTGGTTTATAAGGTCAGATTTTTTATTATTACACTGAACTAATACCTGAAAAAGTAGAAAAAAATCAACCATTATTACCTTATTATCATTACCACCACATTCACATGTCATTGATGTTTTATTTCAAACAGGTCAGTTTTGGATGTATGTGGCTGAGACACTAAAACCTTAATATCAATAAAATAATGTGACACATGACTATGTTCACAGTTTCTTCTGTTAAAATCATCTTCTCATGTTTTCATAGAAAGATGATGAAAGAACCTGTAGAAGAATCACCAACTAAAGCAGCTTCCACGGCAGGTAGGAGATCAATGGTTTGTCTGATGAGCTGTATGGATGTAAAGAGAGAAGGTACAATCCTTTGCCGTTTTGTAACACTTATTGGGAAAAATTTGTCAGAGCACTTGCACATAGTTATCTATATACTGTCTTTAAAAATGGTCACGAATTCAAATCTGTTGCAACATGTCTTAATCTTTCTTTGGCACATTTTCATAACAACTGTCAGTCTAAGGGGCTTGGAAAAGCAAGCAACTTCACTCAAAATGATCTCCTTGTCATCAATGTTTGAGGGGGATACATGTTTATGTCTCTTCCTTCTTCTTGTAGAAGAGGAGCTTGCCAGGGTGCGGTCAGCTTTTGTTTGGAGGGTGTCAACAGAAATCCTTAAACAGCTCCTTGAGGCCCTTGTAAGTGACGGTGTCTTAAATGAATTGGAGAAAGAATCAATACTGGAAGGGAACCCAGTCAGAGCAGATAAGGCACGTTGCTTCATTGATACAGTGAGGAAGAAAGGGGACAAAGCCAGCAGGATCATGGTCAGACATCTTCAGACTATAGATCTCTCCCTTTTCTCTCAGCTGCGTTTATACTCTGATCCATCTGCTCAACAAGGTGAGTCCACTTTTCTCTGTAGTTTGTTGAGATGTGAAGTTTAAAACCTCAGAATTTAATATAATGAAAAGCAGAAAGCGGGAACTTCATTCCACAACATACATTTGGATTTATTAAAGGGCTGCTCACATGGAAAAAAAAAAACCCTTTCCCAAACGGCCATGACAGAGTGAAGATCATTAGAAGATGTATTGGTAGCAGAATAAACCCTGCAATTACCCCCGAATCCATGCCTGCAAGACCACTCTAACCACAATCATCACATGTACAAACTACAAACTACTGGAGAATAAAAAAAATCTCTTAGAGACATGCTGAAAACAACTCCCTGAAAAGTAATGAGGTGGAATAAGAAGTATGTTGTTGTACTAACCAAGGGTTTTAAGTGTGTTGTACTTACAGAGTAGTAAACTAAAGTATTAACTTGAGAGAAATTATATCACATAAGCGTTTAACTTAAAATAGACTGCTCAGAATGATTTTTTTAACATAGATTTTTCTTACCTCTATTTATGTGAACAGTAATCTTATTTAGTTGTTAAAAACGTGAAAAATGAATTGCTTTAAAAAAAAAGTAGTGTCACTTGTGTGACTTCTTGAGTGCTTCAGAAACCCATGAAGGAAAAATATTCCAGTCTTCTATGAGTCACAGTGTGCATAATCTCTTTTTGAGTTTATGGCAGGAATTTAATGTGAAATATTGAATTCCCCTCAGATGTTTATTTTAAACAGTGTAGGTAGCAGTTGAAAGACAGCATGAAAGTTCAGTGGGATTTTTTGTGACAAAATTTGGAGAAGTCCAGAGTTGAAAACCTGTTTAGTTTGTAAATGTTCCCATTGGTTACACAAGCCACAAAGCCAATTTTTTATTTTACATATGTAGGTTTAAAAACCTTTAGTGTGACTGCGCAGAAGTTCCATTTATTTAAATTATAACAGAACAGGAGCTTCTTTGGTTTGGTGATGATTTGTTGTATCTCAAGCTGAGCATCACTCAGTGAATGAAGCCAGATGTATTTTTCATGACATCAAGATTGAAGAAGCACAAATAATACAACAATCCAAACAAGAGGAAAAGTAATTTAAGTAACTCTTTGAGACCATTCGTTAAAATGTCAGTGGAAGTACACACTTGATCAAAAAGAAAGAGGAAAAGATTTGAAAAAAAGGCACCTCTTCACATTTGCAAAGTGATATCTTTGCCCGTCCTTCATCACAGAAGCCTGTTTAAAACCAAACACAAAGATGGTAAATGTTGGTATAAGTGATCAGTCGTCACCATGCTCTTGTCCTGTGTACAATCACTAAAAGACACAGATTTGATAATATAATAAAATGACCTAAAACTTGTTAATGGGAAAGCTGGTAAATATATGATTGTTATGTGATGGCTAATATCCATCTGCTTATGTCCAAGAAGATAGACTAAATCATTCACTGTTGAATATAAACAACGTCAGCAGCTGTTTGGTTCTCTCCCACTTCCTCATCATGCTGTTAACAGGCAAAATACTACCTGCTGTCTCTCCTCCAGGCAGATACCCTGAAGTGGAAAAAAACTACAAGAAATATGAATAAACATTAGAATGTAAACAATGTCTAGCATCCAAGCTTTTTGGTTTAGTACTAATGCAACTGAAACAATTTCTCTTCACTTTAATAGCAGGATGGTGCACTTATAATTAATAAGATTTCTTCAGTATTGTAATTTGAGATCTAAGCACATTTGAAGAAAAAATATGTAAAAATGCAAAACAAAAAAAGAAGACAAAGAAATAAACAGACTGTTTTTTTTCTTGCTATTTTTAATGATTTATTTAGAGGCTCTTCAAAGTTGTCAGCCTCGGCTTAAATCTAAGTTGAAGAAGAAGTTCCAGTGTGTGTTTGAGGGGATCGCTAAAGCAGGAAACCCAACCCTTCTGAATAAGATCTACACAAAGCTCTACATCACAGAGGGAGGGACTGCAGAGATCAGTGATGAACATGAGGTCCGACAGATTGAAACCGCATCCAGGAAATCAGATAGACCAGAAACCAGAGTCGGACAAGAAGACATGTTTAAAGATTCACCTGGAAAAGATGAACCAATCAGAACAGTGCTGACAAATGGAGTGGCTGGCATTGGGAAAACAGTCTTAACACAGAAGTTCACTCTGGACTGGGCTGAAGACAAAGCCAACCAGGACATCCAGTTCATATTTCCATTCACTTTCAGAGAGCTGAATGTGCTGAAAGAGGAAAAGTTCAGCTTGGTGGAACTTGTTCATCACTTCTTTACTGAAACCAAAGAAGGAGGAATC